ACGAGTAATGTTCAGTCATATACTAATACTTATTTGTGGGACTGTTCTTTGGCAATAAAAAATGAAAATTGATAGTTACTATACACCATGTGATTTCTGCACATCACTCTCCAGGTGTTTTCACCATCCCCAGACCACAGCTTCTCAACCTTTTTAATAAGTATTGGACCTTTTTTCAAGGAGCTGAAATTCACATAAAAGTAACCATTTTCAAGTGAACAATGCAGTGGCATTTAGTACATTAGCAGTGTTGCATCATCACCATCTATTCCAAGTTCCAAAATAGTTTCCTCATCTCAAAAGCAAACCCTACTCCCATTTATTGTCACCCCTCACCATTTCCATTCAACCTCCCAGCCATTAGGCATGTTACTACTTCTTAGTTTGAATCAATTTGCTCTTTAGAAAATTGGGGATGCTGCTTTATCAGGTTGTTAGGAGAAACAAGGCAGGTAATGTGTATAAATTGCCCAGCACTACACACATCAGGTACCTAATAAAGAAAGGTCGGGTCCTTCCTTCAACTTTGCTTTCAGCCTCGTCATTCTGGTGTCCTAATGCCAGATTCTACAGAACTCAGAAGTAAGGAAAGAGGCTTTGTAAATTCTTTCTTTAGAAAAAGCTGTACTTAATTCCTATTTTTATTTTAAACCCCTTTTTATTTCAGAATTATTTTAGATTTATAGAAAAGTTGTAAAGATAATACGGTTCCTGTAAACTTTCACCCAGTTTCTTCCATAGTTAGGGTTAACCACGGGCCATTTGTCAAATGAACACTGGTGCATACTTGATGTGGATTTTACCACCTTCCCCACATAATGCCCTTTTTCTGCTCCAAGATCCAACCAGAATCCCATGATGCAATTCGTCCTCATGTCTCTTTGGTCTCCTCTGACAGTTTTCATCTTTCTTTGCTTTTCCTGACCTTGAGGGTTTTGAAGAGGACTAGTTGTGTATTTTCTAGAATGTTCCCCAATTTCACTTTATCTGATGTTTTCTCATGGTGAGACTGGGGTTACAGGTTCTGAGACATCAGGTAGTAGCATATGGTAACATGGTACCTGAAGAACTTACCACTAGCGATGCCGACCTTGAGCATGTGCATAATGTGGTGTTGGTGAAGCTTTTCCACTGAAAGTTATTTCCCCTTTTCTCTTCCCTGTTTTTCGGGGAGGGAGACGGTCAGGAAGGGGAGGGGAGGAAGAGTAAGGTCAGACCTCTAGAGGGGCAGAATCTACAGCCATTATTTAGAATTCTTCTGGAAGATTTGTCTCTTCTCCTCCTTTTTTATGCAATCACTTATCAGTATGGAGTTGTGTATATCTCTTTTATACTTTGGGTTATAATCCAATTCTCTGTTACAGATTTTGTTGCTTAAATTGTTCCATTTGGCCACTGTGAGATCATTCACACTGGCTCCCATGTCCCTTTGACATGCTGCAGTCTCCCCTCCATCCCCAAGATCTTAGCTTTTGATATAAACTTTGGTATTCTTCCCCACCTTTCCACTGAAATTGCTTTAAGGTCCTTTAGGTTACAGTGGTTTCTAGATTGTCAAGCGAAACTACTTGTCTCTTCTTATTTTACCAGAATACTATTAATCTCTTTCCTTCAAATTCCATTTCATTTTCTAAAAATTTATTATGGAATTTTCAAACATAAAGCTACAGAAAAGAGCATTATGAATTTCCATGTATCCATCACCCTCCTTAAACAATTGTCAGCATTTTGCCTACTGTGTTCTCTCTCACATGCTCTGCCACTGGGACACATTCTTTAAAGGAAACCCCAGACATCATATGAGTTCAACTGTGGAGTTGTGTCTTCAACAGATCAGAACTTTAAAAATATTTTATTGACATTTCCTCGTGCACCATGACCCCTTCTCCAACACACACTTTATAAAGGTCCATTTGCTGAAGAAACTGGGTTTTCTGTCTTATTAAATTTCCCAATTCTGGATTTGGTTCATTGTCTTCACAGAGTCTTATGTTAGTCTAGTCCTTGAACTTCATATAAATTGGAAATTAGATGTAGAGTCTTTATGAGATTGTTTTCATATTTGCAAAATATTTCCAATATGTTTGATATATAACTCAATTTATCTATCTATATTTATCTTAATTATATATGTACACATATATTTTAAAAACTACTTCATTGGTGGGGAAGTCAACTTCCTAAAGCATCACAGTAGAAGCCGTATTGTCCAGGTGTTCCAATTGTAATTTCCTCTTTAGAGACACCTCTAGCTCCTGACTTTCTTCCTTTTTGTCTTTGCCATTTTTCTCAGTTCCCTTCAGACTCTTCTGTATCTGGGGTTAAAATCATTGTCTTCAGGGTCCCACTGTCAGTGGTCCATCCCTAGGAGTCTGTATGTGGTCTCCCTTTCCATATTCCTAAGGCTGAGGACTCAGAAGAGCATGTGAGAGAGAACACAGTAGGCAAAATGCTGACAATTGTTTAAGGAGGGTGATGGATACATGGAAATTCATAATGCTCTTTTCTGTAGCTTTATGTTTGAAAATTCCATAATAAATTTTTAGAAAATGAAATGGAATTTGAAGGAAAGAGATTAATAGTATTCAATAAGTTTTGAATATTAATTTTTTAAATGTTAATATTTATATTTTGGGGTTACACCAGCTCATTGTTGCAGTGCACAGGTTCTTTTGTTGCTGCACACGGGCTTTCTCTAGTTGTGAAGAGTGGGGGCTACTCTTCATTGTGGTGTGAGGACCTCTCATTGCCATGGCATCTCTTGTTGTGGAGCATGGGTTCTTGGTGTGCAGGCTCAGTAGTTGCTCTGTGGCATGTGGGATCTTACTTCCTGAACCAGGGATCAAACCCATGTCCCCTGCATTGCAAGGCAGATTCTTAACCACTGGACCCACCAGGGAAGTCCCAGAAGTTCATATTTTTTATGCCGACTCTCTCCACTGAGTTTGAAGCTCAAATATCTGGTGACCACCACCATGTCACTGGATGTCCTGTGGGCTCTTCAAACTCACTGTGTCCCCAAGTGGAGTTAATTATTTCTTCCTAAACCTGTTTCTCAATGTTTTCTTTAGCTCAGCGATGAGAACCACCATCCAAGGAAGAAACCTAGAATTTTCCTCACCTGCCCCAAATCGCCAAGCCATAGAACCTCTGTTTCCTTAATAGCTCAATTGTGTCCCCTCTTCTCGAGGTTACAGGCTCGATTCTAAAATTCAGATAAAGAACAAGTGCATTATCCAGTCACATTCTCCAGCAGGACTAGAGTCTAACCCTGTGCTCCAGCATGGAACATACTGGAATCTTGCTGAGCGTTGTAATCAGCTCCAGATTCTTCACCATGCTCTGGATACATTGTGCTTTACACAGGTTGTGAATACGGCTGTCAAGGCTGAGTGCAGCAGGGTGAAGCACCTGAAAGTAGGGAGTTCAGGAGTCAGAATACTTAGGTTTGACCCTCTCTTCCCCAACTGAGAGTGAACTTAAGTTGGTTAACTTTTCTGTGCTTCGGTTTCCTCATGTGCAAAATGGAAATAATATTTCACCACTTTCCTGGAATCTCCGAAGCTCTGGAAACTGAAAGTCATGTTTCGTTGTTGTTTTCAAATAATTTGTTTGGCAGCCAAACCTGACTTGACTATGAGGACAAAACCTGACGTGAATGGAACTGGGAATATTTATGGTGTTATTCCGCTTAGAATATCCTTCCATTTTACTGCAACAACTGACTTTGATGACAGGCTGCTGCCCCAGCCCAATGAGACCAGTTCCATAATAAGCTGTTTGACTTTTCAAAAGTACCACAACGTCTGAATTCTGAGATACACCTGATTGAAGTTTTGGAAAACAGGTTGTGTATCGGTGATAGTTACTTCACAGGTTTGTCATAGGTTGCTTGCTCAATTCATATTTGTAGAGAGATTAGAAGAGTATGTGGCCCCTGGGAAGCCCTATATAAGAGTTTGATAAAGATTTCATGTAATAGTTAATCCTAGAAATGAACTGAAAGAGAAATGATTTTGTCAGAAGTTTGCTGAATTTTGGGGGCTTCCACTGAAGCTGGGTTCTACCATAACTTTTCTGTTATTAAGAAATGAAACCATGGCTGACTCATGTCAATGTATGGCAAAAACCACTACAATATTGTAAAGTAATTAGCCTCCAACTAATAAAAATAAATGAAAAAAAAAAAGAAATGAAACATCAGAGACAGAGAAACCCCTCTGGATAGGGACTCCAATCCTCTCACTGCCCAGAACCAAACTCTTATTTTGAAGCTGGTGTGTGTGAATATTTCCCAGGAGTTTATCAATTTTAGTTCATAAATAGGTATCCATGGTATGGATTCTTTTAGAACAAAGAATGATCCAGTTCCAAGAGTTGACAGTGCTCAGGTTAGGAAACCCTGCCCTTACCTCCCTCCCCTGAGTTCTTGCAGCGCTGCCCCCTGCCCTCGCTGCCCACCACCATGTCCCCAAGGAAAAGACCATGGTCCAGCTAACTGGGATGGAAAGGACTAAACATCTGCTGTGTGAATGGATGAACAAGTCGTGGGGCCCTCCTATTACAAGTGATCACACGAGACATCGGTGTAGGACAGGTGGGGCTGAGGTGGCAGGAGCCAGTCCATCTGTTCCAACTGCTGACAGGGAGATAATGTCCCCCTATCTGGAAGAAGTTCCACAGCCAGGACTTCCGTTGGCATTCTTTGGCAATTTTTAAAGATAGGGGATAAGCATCAGCATTGATTGCGTGTATACCATGTGGCCAGCGCTGTGTGTTTTCCAGGCACCAACTCCAGGTGGTCCTCACAAGGACCCCCTGTAGGGGGTATCATGAAGACCTACGTCAGGAGCAAGGAACACCAAGCCCTGGGAAGTGAAAGGCACTCATCGGCAAGGGTGGGACCAATCTGGGGGTTTCTCTGGGGGAAGGCAGGAGTGTCTTTTGGGAGGATAAACACTTCACTCTTAAATTGCCAAGAAAACTGCCACAATTAGAAGTTCAGTTTGTATTTCTGCCTCAGTCACATTTATTTTCTATTTAGGCGTATGGGTTTCAAAGGAAGAGAGAGAGAGAGAGAGAGAATTGGTAAAGATTTGAAATTTTGGTCATGTGTCACCACAGGGGAAGTTAATCCTGATTTTTGTCTGCAATACCCAAGCACAAACTATAACTCCAGTAATAAAACGTGAGCTTGGAAAAATAAGCACCTGGGGCTGAGGAAAAGTAATGTATTTGTTTCAGGGCAGGGGCTGAATGCGCAGCTAAGTGTTTTGAGGGAGAAACATGTCAATACTCTATCTTTTCACCAACCTTTGATGGATGTGCTAATCTTCGCAGGTCAGCACGGTTCACCCTGGCAACGCACCAAAATAACTTATTTAAAAGGCAGCTGGCTTTTATAAATGGACTGAAACATCCATTTTTAGGTTTTTGTTCCCTGAAATATATTCTCTTATCAAAACAGTATTCGCTATTATGTAGTAAGAGTTCAAGGACACCTTTTCTACCACCAAGGAGACTGCAGAGGTGAGCAGGTTTGGGAATCACTGTCCTCAGCTTTCAATTCTGGATGACTTTCAAGCTCTGTCGAGACAAGCAGGTAACCAGAAGGACGTCAGACACGGATTCTCATTCCTTTAGAGTAGGAGCTGGCAAGCTACCACCCACAGGCCAAACCTGGACTGTTTTCATTAATAGTTTTATTGGCATGCAGCCATGCCCAGGCCTTTACTCACCATCTCTGGCTGTCTTCCTCCTGCAAGGGCAGAACTGAGGAGTCGGGACACAGATCATGCAGCCTCAAAGCCTGAGCTAGGAACTCCAGCCCTTGACAGCACACACACTCGGATGAGCTCTGTGCTGCTGGGCCAGCAGGTTTGCATCTGGGCTAGAGGACTTAGGGTTGGGGGGGAAGACATCTGAGCCCCTGAAAACCTTTGCCTAGTTCAGTTGGGTTAAAGAAAGAAGAAAAGAGAAACATAATGACTAGGCAGGATCTCCAAGAACTTGAATGAACTGGTCACTCTCACTGACATTCAAAACCAACGGGATGGATATGAAATTATCGTTTTATGTCGAAAGAACACCTCACTTGCAACAGGATGTGTTCTGCCCACTCCCAGGTGGCTGGCCTTATCACTGCCCCCGGGGGACTTTGATGAACGTGCTCAGTTGTCAGCATCGAGCCCCCTTTCCCTGAGAAGAGCCACAGGAGAGGGGGAGAAGGCGACCATGAAAGGCAACCAGAGGCAGAGGCAGGTGGGGTCCCCCCAGGAGGGGCTCAGAACTTGAGTGGGATGACAGGCCAGTACTTGGGCTGCTTGCGGTCGCAGTGCTTGTCAAAGCTGAGCTGCATGGCGGTCTCCATAGCCTGGATCTTGGTGGCACTGGCCCCATATAGGCGCTGCATCTCAGCCCGGCGCCGCTCTCCAGGTCGCTCGGCTGGGGGCAGCGCGGAGCGGCCACGCTTGTCACAGTACAGGCCATGGTCAGCATTCACGTAGTCTTTCAGGCGCGCTGCGTCCAGCTGCTGCTGCCGCCCTGGGAAGCAAGCAACATGTTCCATGAGCCGGGTCGTCTCAGCTGGCACTCGCTTCTCTTTGCCTTCCCTTTCTAACTGCCAGGGCACCTGGCCCTAACCCACTGGCTGGGAGCTTCTCAGACTCTAAGGCATAACCCATGTGGGGTGATCACTATCTCCTTTAGGAACCACATCTCTCACTCACTCAGCACCCCAAAGTATCCATGTTCAGCAATGGGCCTGAAAAACAGAGGAGAAAAATGCAGCCCCTTGGGTCTCTCTGGGTCCACACGGCTGCCCACAAGCTGCCCCGTGAGGCGTAGCCAGTGGTACTCCTGTGGGTTCAAACACTGGACGGACCTGACCAGCTGGGAAAGGGAACACTCCCTGCCAAGTCCAGGGCTATAGGTAGTAATAATTCTCACCACAAATAAGCTGCTGGGGGTAAAAGAATCACCTCTGTGGAAGAGGTATGGGTTTGAGGTCATCTGGGAAAGGGTGAGTGCTAGCAGCTAGATAACTCGAGGATGAGCGATGATCCCCGCACACCTCAACACAAATCACACCATGTGAGGAAAGGTGAATGGGCTTCAAGGCTGGCCAAAGGTAGGACAGGGCCAAGAAAGCATTCTTCTTCAGATGGCAGGAAGGCCTCTGTGCTGCCTGCAGCAGCCTACCAGCTGCCTGCCTTATGGATAGACAGGGCTTGTCCCTTCACTCCAGGCCAGCTTAAGCTCAACTTCATGACAGTGGGTTATATGCTCTGATCTCATCTAAATGGATTCTTGTAAAGCAACACATATTTACTCAGGTTATCCTCTCCTCTCTGTTTTTACCATAACAAGTCCAGTAGTATAACTTTTATTCTTTTTTTTTTATAACTTTTATTCTTATGTAAACTAGAAACAACATAAAGATGTCAACAAAACCTAAGGCAAATTCTAGCCAACTTAAGAGATTTTTGTAAGTGACTGTCAAGAACAGAGAAGGCACACCTTTGTAGACACTGCTGCTACCAAGAGAAATGCTACTTAGTAAGGACTGAAGATGGCTGTAGGGAATAAAACAATGATATAAATCATTTTGTCCTTGGTTAAAAAAAAAAGAATGAATGAAAGCTCAGTATGGAAGGGAACACAAGAATGAGCACATCAAGTGAATGGCAAGATATTTATGTGCCTATGCTATTTATGTGGCTAGGTACAGACACTCACAAATCTCACTCATTTATAAATCATACCGTGGAGCTGGAGAGGAGTTTTATAAGCTTGGAAATGTTAAAAATGCATGTGGCCATTTCTGTCTTAGCATACCTACAGCTTATTTTTATACAAGGAGGTAGTATGTGGATAATCCAAATGACTGTCAAGCAAAAGAAATACAATATAACTGTTACCTTATCCATACAAAAGATAGAATTGACCTAATGTAAAAGGCAGAACTAAACCAAAATATTGGCCTGATGTACAAATGAATGGGAGGTCGACAGGCATTTGTGTCTCATTTCTGGTCTTTCTGGCAAATCTGAAACTTCAGGATTTAAGATGTTCAATTCTCATATGGGTATACCGGTGTTTCAATTCTAACCCCCCCTCCCCCCATCATGGCCAGGGACTTCTCTTCTGAAGGCTTGGCATCTCCACCCAAGCCAGGAATACCAGAGTCCCCCTGCTGCCTATGACAGCCTAGGACATTTTAATAGTCCTCAGGCCCTGAGAAAACAGTTTCATACAGTCCCTCAGAGCCTGCGCACATGGAGGGCAGTAGTTCCCAGACCCTGGGCCTTTCACTCTCAAGCCTGTCCTAAGACTACCATCATTCTCACCAACAGGTTTAGTGACACAACAGATGTTGAACTTCCTGTTGAAATCAGTCTCTGTATTTACAAGTTTTAAAAAACACTGGAACCTTTGCTGTCTTTAGTGTTGCTCTCTGCCGTCAGAAATGTGAATTTAACCTTTTTACTTTTGCATCTTTATTTGTTTTCCTTATAACTTACCATGACTATTATGATGCTTCTTCTGCTGCCCTTCTGACAAAAACTATCTCATGGACATCGTGAGTGCTAAGTCGCTTCAGTCGTGGCTGACTCTTTGTGATCCTAGGGACTGTAGCCCACCAGGCTCCTCTGTCCATGGGATTCTCCAGGCAAGAACACTGGAGTGGGTTGCCATTTCCTTCTCCAGGCGATCTTCCTGAACCAGGGATTGAACCCACGTCTCCTATGTCTCCTGCACTGGTAAGGTGGATTCCTTACCACCAGTGTCACCTAGGAAGCCTGCACAGTGGGTAGTTGCCCTCAAACATAGAGCAGAGAGACAGGAAGCAGGTCCCTAGGCACCAGAGGCCTACCTGTGGCAGTCCACCCTGGGGTGGGCACTTTGGCCTTTACTCACCTCATCTCCCCAGCCCTGGGGGGGGGGCTGCAATGCCTGACCCAAAGCAGGTGGTCAGAAATGGTTGTCAACAGAAAGCTCGGGCAAAGGCCATACATTATTCTTTGTAAACAACTGTTCCTTCCAGATGCTGTTGGAGAAAAATGACAATCCAGTGATAGAGAAACAGATGCTCAACTCTCAAAAGGCCCTGGGCAGAGCCTCTCCCAGAGGGCCTCTGAATCTCCCTGGGGAGAGGCACTACTGAGTTGTAGTCTGATTTTGTTCCCTTACATTTGAGTTGCTTTACCTTTACTTACATACACACACCCAAGTTCTAACATTAGACTATTAATACAGACTTGAAACCTGGTCAGCTTAAAACCAAGCACGTTCAGACTGGCTGGACTGGAGGCTACAGGTGGCACATGAAAGTACTTTAGTGCACACTGACCCAGGGATCCAAGCAAACCTCAGGATTCAATACTCATTTGAGGGCATCCACTTACTCTGGGTTCTATTTATTGCTTCCTCCGTCCCAGTGAAGGAAAGGATTGTCAATCACTGGCCATTTTTCTTTCTGTCAAAACAAGGTGAGGGCTCAGCCAACCAGATGGCTGACAAGCAGAGGAGTTGAACATCACACTTCAGACATAACTGGCCCTTGTCACGCAGAGGTCAGTCATTTTTCCTGAAAACAGTTGTGGGACTCAAGTGTTACTAAGCACTTTTTTCGTGCAGGGCATTTGCCCAAGGCAACTTGCTTTAAAACAAACTGGAGTATCTTTCTTGAGTCCACCTTTAAAACAGGGTTGTAGCAGGGTAAACAACCTACAAATTTCCAGCTATCCAAAACCTCAGAAGCTCAGGGACTTTGGGGATGTAACTAAGGATTGAGATGATTTTGGATTAGGGTGGATCCCAAATCCAATGAGAGTATCCTTATGCGAGACAGAACAGGGCACATACAGACACAGGGGAAACCATGGAAAAATAGCAGCAGAGACAGCACCCTTGTTACCAGAAGCCAGTGAAAGCCAGGAGCTGTCAGGAGCTAGAGGAAGCAGGCCAGAGAACCTCTGGAGGTGCGGCACTGGTGACACCTTGACTTTGTCCTTCTGGGCTCCAGAACTGTGAGAGAATAAACTCTGTAGTTTTAAATCACACAGTTTGTATAATCTGTTACAACAGTACTAGGAAACAAATTCCAGAGTTAATTTAACATGCACATATAGTTAAAACAGGAGAAACAGCATCAGGGAGAAACTCTACTGGACTCCATCTGGGTTCAGGATATATAACCTTGATATTTTCACCTCAATCTACACATTCACATGATGCTACCAATGTAGACTTAAAGTCTATAAAGTAAAAAACTATCATGGGAGGTGACTTGGACTTCAGAGACCCTGACATAGCAGGAAAACATTTATTCAGTATTCCACAGATAATCAGCCCAAAGGCAGAACATTTTGGAGGACAAAGCACTAAGACAAATGAGTGTTAAAGAATGTGATTTTCCCCCATTTTTCTAGGATTAGCATGTCTGGTTATATTCTCTGCTGTGTTGCCAGGATTAATGACCTCAGCACAACTGAGCGAAAGCACAGACTTGATTTATATCACTAATGCCTTGTTTCTGGCTCGTCAGCAGCACACCCAGAACACAGGTACTTGCCAAGAGCTGGAGCCATTTCTGATGGGTCTTCTTCCCTCCTCAGCCCGCATCCCTGACTCCATGACAAATGTAATCCCGAAGTCCACGGGCAATCTCCATGTTTACTTTTAGAATAAGAGTCTCATGCTCGACCAACTGAGCTAGCTGGGCAGCTTAGTTTTAGAATGGAAGTGCATTTCCAGCCCTCCCTTCCGTTTCCCTGTGGTCATTCACACATGTCCTCTCACAGACTGGCTGATGCCCATCTGAGTATCTGGACTAGATGAGGCACGCATGGCGGAGTTGTACTCCATCAGCTTGCTCCTATACTTGAACCTCACTGGTGAAACCAGGGTGGCCCACTGAACACCGGGCTGCAGACTTCGCTCTATCCTCTGGGTTTTCCAGAGACAGTGGGCTGGGGTTCCAGCAGACTGACTGAAGGCTCACTAGGAAGCCTAGAGTCTACACCTTCCTGCTCGGGGTAGTGGGTGGGGAGTGGGTGTGGGTACCCAAGAGTGGAGCAGACGAGCCCATCACACGTACACGAACCACATCTGGGCCCTTCGGTAAGAACAGCACTTGGAGTGCTGCACAGGTGTGCACTTACCACTTTCTCTCCCTCTCACTGCACACGGATCCAGTACCTCAAAGCCGAGTGCACACTCCGTTTCTCCACAATCACCTGGTGGAACTCCTCTGACAGCTGAGCCCACTGGCTCTTCCCCTCATTTGCAAAGCTACCCATGACCCGCACCCCAGAGAGCTCTTCTACTATCTTTTTAAACTTGATTTTTGTCTTCCCTTCCCACACTGGTTTATGCTCCTTGAGACAATGTCCCTGTTTGCGCCTGACATCTACCCCCAAAATATCGGACTGGTTCTTGGTGAGACAACAGTGGTGTTTGTTTTGGGGGGCCTCCTTCTCTAAGTATTAGAATGAGGACATCACAGTCTCAGCTCATGGTTATTTATGACTAAAAATGATGCCTTTATTAACCTAACAGTTATTTTTCCTAAGAAATACCTGACAACACAGTCAATCTTTTAAATCTTCACAACCATCTAATTTTCCCTAAGTAATATTACCAGTGAAGTTTTAAATAACAGAAATATCCATTAAGGAAACGTGATATATAACCATCAAAAGCATGCCTGTTACCCCTGCACAAGAGGAGTTCTTTATTTATCCTAGTTAATTTTTAAAAAATTTTTATCATGGAAATATGTGAAATTAGAGAGTCTCTGGAAGAACAGTAATCACAAACAAGAACACGCTGTCCATGCTAAAGGATTTTATCCCAAGAAAACATTAAATGAGACTCAGATGACACTAAACTGTAAAATGTGTAAGTTCTTGTGGAGGTGAGTAATCCGGAAAAAGCTAAATCTTTCAAATTTATCTACGTTTTCGCTTGCTAGTAGTATTTGATACAATCTATGTTCTCTAAATGATTCATGTGCAAGGCTGGGTTTGCCCTGATTGAATAAATAGCTTCTAGTGGCTCGAAGAGCAAAACAACGTCAACCAAGTATTCACACGATGCAGGTCCCTCATTTCTTTATTCAAACATCTCCCAGCTGTGTGTCTAACTGAACCTCCGTGAGCATTTCTAGCAGAGGTAATGGATTGGAAAGCACTGTGGGCATTCCAATTACTTACATGTGAGTGCCATCATTCATGACTGCTCCGAGGAACACATATTGATCCTGTACACCACTGAAAGAGCTGGTGGGAAACCTAGCGCTGGTGAAGCCATGCCCATTATTTTTGGAGGGGCAGCATCAGGCCCTGGCAGCTGCTTCTCAGAGAGACCATGTCTTTCGTGAGAAGATTCAATTCTGACACCAAAGCCTGTTCTCACCCTCGCCAGACAACTCTCATGCCTCCCGGGGACCTGACAATGCTTCCAGGGCAGATGCTCTTGTCTCCTACACTCATTCATAAACTCCTAACTCCTCACTTGGGTATAGATGATATTTCAGGTTTATTTTAAATTAGCAGGTGATTCAAAATGGCCTTTTAGATGGCGGGGTTTTGCTCCCATCCTTAATTACAACTTCTATCACAAAAGTAGTACTCTTTCTGGCAGGAAAAGCATGTTATTCTGCCTTGGGTAAGGACAAGAGAAATAAGCACTGGCTTCCTCATATTTTCTTTTTCAAAAGCTTGTAACAGCATTCCAAACACAAGTGGACATGCTCCAGTGATGACCCTCCCTCATCCGTTTATATACTTTTAAATTAGACTAACGGTTATTTCCAATGTATTTTGAAAAAAGGTAAAATTTATTTCTGAAAATCATGGAAAGACATGTATTCTGTGTGTAGTAGAAAGTAGTTTTAAAAAGACTTGTTTGGATGTACTTTCTGATATGCAAAAAGAAGAAAACAGTTTAATCAAAAGAAGGGAAGTAAAACAACTGAATGAGTAGTTTAGTGAGAACCACAGGCAGACACTAAAAGCCATGGGGCTTTACACACAGCCCACTGCTCAGTTCCATGCACTCAGGGGGCATCAGTAAATGCCCACCCAACATTAGGAAAATACAGATCAATCAAGATGTAAATGAAAATCATACATCCCCAGGTTTCTATGCCTCTGTTTACTAGAAAATTCTAAGTAAAATATATATGATTAGAATGCAATAAAAACAATATTGAGACTGCCTACTGGTTGTAATGGGCTTCCCTGGTGGTTCAGATGGTAAAGTATCAGCATACAATGCAGGAGACCTGGGTTCGATCCCTGGGTTGGGAAGATCTCCCTGGAGGAGGGCATGGCAACCCACTTCCAGTATTCTTGCCTGCAGAATCCCATGGACAGAGGAGCCTGGCAGGCCACAGTCCATGGGCTTGCAGAGTTGGACATGACTGAGCCAGCCACTAAACCACCACCACCACTACCACAAGAATTTTTTTAAAAAAAAAGTCCTATATTGAAACAACTCTGGAAAACTAATGTAAGTGAGGTACCGCATCACGAGAGCTTTTCCAGACTTAGGATTGGGTTTGAATATTACCTGGACCCAAGCAAGGGGTCAGAAGTTCGTACATGAGGGCAGGAAGAAAGGCCTGAGGCGGAGCGGGCTGTACTTACGGAGCTCCTCCCGGTGCCGCTCGGTCTGCGCGAAGTACTGGCGCAGCTCGTCCGTGATCACCATGTTGCTCAGGTCGCACACTATGCCGCCGTCGTCCGACTCACTCTCGTTGTCGGACTCGCTCTCGTTGTCCTCTGCGACCTGGGCTGGCTTTTCTGTGCTGCATTGTTGTGGTCCCGGCTTGCCAGGACGTGAACACCCGGGGGAGGCGTCCCCAGAGGCTGAGGGAAGCTTGGAGCTTCTGCCACCCTCGGCAGCAGCACTCTGGGCAAGGCCAGTGGCTGGGCAGTACCACGGGGAAGTGACGACTGAGTCCACCGCCTTCTGATAGGCAATCTGGTGGCTGTGCATCCACGCCATGGCTTGATGGTAATGCTGCCAGTACCTTGCATAGACTGGATGAGAGGACCAAGACTCGGGATCCTGTGTGGATGCCAGCTACGAAAAATGGAGACTGCAGGCTAGACAGCACACGGGTTCAGCCTCAAGAGAAACCTTCAAACAGTCAATCAACTAACCTTTTTACTGTGTATCTACTGAATACCTTCTCCTAATTAGGATGCCTGCGGGCCAAAGAGGATATAAGACCGGTCCACGCCCATGAGTGCACACTTGTTCTGAAGTACTTGTTGCACACAAGGTTGGCACTGACAATTAGTCTGAGGTGACAGCCCAAGATAAACTAGGGGCAGAGGCTAATAATAATCATTTTTAGATGACATGCAGGAAGCAATGAAGAGCCACTGCCTATCATCCTGGACCTTTCAACCTGCCGTAATGAACTGACTGATTCCAAGTTAGAAATGCCTGCCAAGAAGCACGGGGGTTACTGAGGATGATGTTCTCTGGTCCCTCCCTCTCTGGCCCCTAAACACCTGTGGGCTCTCAGTGCCTGGGACTGAAGCTGACTAGCCATGCACCCCATGGTGCTTTACTTATAGCTTTCTGATGTATCCCTTTGGTCTATTCCATCATGCAATTAGACACTAAGACTTCTAAAAGTGAAAATGTACCTTTTCCCCTCTCATGAGTTAAAAAGAAAAATCTTACCTTTGCCTCCATCTCTGACTGTGAACGTCCAAACCAAGCCCCAAAACTAGAAAAGAACAAGTCCAGGGCAGACATCTGGTCAGTCCAGTGGTATGAGGTTTGTGGCTATTTCCCCAATATCTACCTCTTGTGATTTATTGATATGGCAGGAAACACCTCAAGGTAAAGTTTAATTTGCAGCTGCACCTTTTACAACCTATTTAAAACAGACTTAAAATCTCCCCCTCCTATTCAAGGAAGGGTTCAGAGATGCTCAAAGTGCCAGCATACACCAGAATGTACCTAAGAAAAAAGTTAAATGCAATAGCCTACAACGCATGAGAATTTAAGCATCTATGAGACGAAACCCCTAACACAACGTGATGCTGAGCAAACAGGTACTTGGGTTTTGAAACTCTGTAAATCAGATACTGAAGGAGTCCTATTTCTCCTACTTCACTTAATTATAGAGTAGAACTTGAAAATCTCCAAGCCTTAAGAAGTAAACTCGATTTATTCTGTAATCTCCATCAGATGTTTTGCTATGGTTAATGTGGAAAACTGGTAAGTTAAATCGACCACATCTTTTAAGATTTAGCCTAAAGAGAATGATTTACGTTTTTTAAATATAACAAGCTTTCAAATAGAGTATTTCCAAGAGGGCTGACATGGTCTTCTGTAAATTTATCTTAAACACAGCCCACGCTTCTTGTTAACTGTTCTAAATTCACACACACATAGTAAATGTAAACTGGGGGAAAGTGAACAAATGCAGTGAAAATACAAGTGTAAGCTAATGTTCACATTAGTTTGAAACTATAAAGGCTTAAAACATGAGCAAGTATCTGAAAGTGTGGCGCACTGCTATGTGCTTTATAGGCTACTGAAGAAATATATATATGAAAACAGTCAATACAATTAAGGAGCTAACCACCTATAGAAGTAAAATGAACACAAGAGAAATTATAGTAGAAATCAGTGTATATTAATACTTGAGTGCTAAAGGGTAAGGTGTAGCCTTTAAGTGGTTAATTCACTCCCCTCGGGTTTTCTATCTCCACCACTGAAATCTGAACAGTTTTCTGAGTGCCTGAAGCACATAATGACATTAAAGTGAACTCCATGTGATTCTTAATAAAATTTGTTTCAGAAATTAACAATTAGCATAGGAATTAAATTAGAAAAGCCTAGGAGATCTGTGCATCTTGGGGAAATTAAGAGTTTTGAATCCAGACTTCTATACCTTAGAAAATACATACTTAGAAACAGATCAATGTAAATATTAATTATTTCAAACTGGGAGATCTGACATCTTCCAATATGTAATAAATATTACTGTGATTGAACACTACTGCAGATCCTGGACAACCCTGTTTTTATTTATAATTGGGAAAGTCCAGTCTGGCTTTAGAAGCAGTAGTACCAATATTCTGCAAATACACAAGATGGCTTATGAGAGGCTCCCCTTTGCAGAGCCAGAAGTCAGGCATGCGTGACAGAGTAGACAACTGTTTAAGAGGTTCGAGTGTAAGTCATCATGTTTGCCAGGCAGTTCAAATGTCAATGGCTGTGATTTAAAAGGGATGGGAGTGCTAATTTGAGAAGTGGTTACTTACGTATGCATTTGATTCAACAAATAATTTGACAGAAGGACTGCCATGTCCCACTACCTCAGAAATCACGAAAGGCACTCTGAGCACTTTTCTAAGAAAGCAGCTAGGACAAGGGGCGGGGATGAAGCAAGCCAGTTCCTGCACTTGGATCAGAAGTCACTCAGATTTAGCCCTGGGTACCGACTATCTATAAAGCATATCAACTCATCTGCCGAGAGGCTGGCCTCTTTAAGACCCAGGCCATGAAAGAAAGATGAATTTACATCCATCAGGGAATACAGGCAACTGTCGATTTTACGGGTTATGCTCTCCTCACTGTCTGGCCACTGGGACACTTCTGGTCAAATCTGCTGCCATCTTCCAGCATGTTTAGAGTCCTCAGGCTCTACGTTCAATATGCTGCTCATTCTGTCCTTGGCTTTATTATTTTCCCTTCTCATATTCCAAAACCTGTGTGTCATATCCTTTTACATTTTAAGTATCTTTAAGGTTGCTAAAATCCTATAGATACTCAATTAAAAAGAGTATCGATTACCTGCGGAATCTAAAAAAAATAATGATACAAATTAACATATACAAAACAGAAAGAGACCCACATAAGCTTATGGTTATCAAAGGGGAAATGAGGGGAGGGATAAATTACAAGTTTGGGATTAACATATACACATTACTATATATAAAACAGATAATCAACATGGACTTACTGTATAGCACAGGGAACTCTTCCCAATATTTTGTAATAACCTATAAAGGAAATGGATCTGAAAAACAATGTATGACTGAATCACTGCTGAATAACTGAAAGTAACACAACATTGTAAATCAACTATACTTCAATAAAAATAACAAATAAAAGAGTTTTCTTTAGGTTGAAAAAATAGTCCCTGAGAATGAATGACAAATTAATCAATTATCTCTCTCAAATCAAATACGATAAAGTATGGAAAAACATGTCTAAAGAAAGAATAGCTTGCAGAGACCTTTATAACTATTGTTAACTGGCTATTTCCAGTATTACTCTTGGTATTTTATACCAGCAAATTTTTTTCTCTAAAGGACCAAATACTCCGGGCCTGTAGGCCATATATCCTGCTACGCAGCCTTCCTCCTTTTTTTTAAATTAAAAAGACCACCTTGTAACAATGTAAACAGCATTCTTAGTCATGGGCCATCACTTGCCCACCTCTGCCTAATGTTAATCCATTATGATGCTGTAGAGACCCTGCCCTCAGTATGCTGAGCATCCCACCTGTTCCTCGCTTTGCACTTAGAAATCAGTGGAAGAACTGAGATTCTCACACAGCTCAGAGGCTATCAGGCTCAGAATAAGACCAGTGCAAAAAACAAAACTGATTATGACCAATAGCAATCATGGCGACCAGTTCCTAATACTGGGGACAAAAGAACCCTGTCTGTGACTAAATAAGCAAATCAGACTATTTCTTAAAGAGCTACATAGACCTTAAAGACTTAATTAAGAACAAAACAAAACAAAATTCTAACTCCTGGAAAACAGGATCAATCAACAGGGCTTAGAAAGCATATGCAGTGCCCTGATTTCTGATGGAGATCCTATAAGTTGCCGGGCCTAGCAGGAACCCAACAAGGGACAGGAATCAAGAAAGAATTTTGAGTGTCTATTCCCTGGAAGAAGGAACCCATATCCTTCCCAGCGGACCGCATCTGTCGACACCCAAAGGAAGGTGAGAACCTCCTTGAGTAACGGGCCCTGTTAACTTTTTAAAACTGGGTACTCTTTCTACACAGAGAGCTTAAGGACCTAATAAAACTGCTGGGGCTTCTGAAAACCCAACATTAAAATACTTCTTGATACTACTGCCACACTTTCACACATTACTACCATCTCAAAGAAAAGAAAGCTTATGGGAACAGCAGATGGGAGATGCCCTTTCAGCGGTCTTTAATTTGATCTTTCCCCACCTTCCCAGGAGCGTCTCGTACTCTTTCATGGCACCTGGCTTCATGGATTGCATGGCAACTCTTCTCCTAGTGGGAGGTGGAGCTGAAAGAAAAGAGAGGGTCGATGTCAGGGGAGGCTGGGACCCACAGCCCTACCAACTGGGCAGCCCTCCCCAGGGAGGACAATGGCACAATAGTCACTGCCCAGCTGAGCCCAGGCGAGCACAGAGACCCAATTCATTGTCTGTCTTCAGCCAACAGAGGAAGGAAAAAAACAGCATTGAGGTCATTCACGAAACACTGCCGAGGCCCAAAGGCGAAAGACAGTGACTCTGAGTCTTGAATGATACATTTTCCCATATAGCCCTTCTTAAAAAATGCACTCATTCTTCAATGACTGCTTATCCTGAGAGATACATTTAAAAATGCCTAACTATACAGGAACAACAAGAGACAAGAGCTTTTCGGTTTTCAATGAATAAAATGTGACTATTTCCATTGAGTCCTTGAAAATTTCCACCAAGTGGTTGCAAATTTCCACCTATAAGCAATGTGGCTTTGTTGAGAGGTAGTCACACTGTATACAATCTTTTAACTGCCTATTAGATTCTTATAAATATAGGGTCTAGGACACATCATAGCAACCAGATAGATGAAACACAAATTGCCTTTGAAATGATAATGGATATTCTCTAACTGGATTTTCTTCTCTATCCTGCTTTCCCACTAGAATTCTGAAAATTAAATACATGAAGACTCCTCTACTTTGTGAGTTTTGCAAAGAAACACATTCAGTGTTGGACATTAAACAAGTTATGCAAGTTTCCTATAAGGCTCTCACTAATTTGGTTCTCGAGGCAACCACAGAATTTGGGGGATCTAATTAGGTCTTCAGTTTACATTGTTTCAAAGTTGAAAAAACCGGGTCTGCTGGAGACTGCTCAAAATGAATGACTGCATGGTAGAGAAATCTGAAATACAGACACTGAGTCACATGCAGTTGCACGGAATCTCTGGATTAAGAGATAATAACCCTATCAAAGATGTCTCCCAATAACAAACATGCTGGTAGCAACTTCCTCAACTAATATAAATGAGAAAAGGAGGTTTTTTGGGAGCACAGCTTCTTGTCACCCCTAGCTGCAATCTGAGGCTGGCAAATTCATCTGGCTTGCTGCCCTCAGAGGCTCCCTCCTGCGGCTTGGCATGGTTGCTGCTCAGTGATTTGGACATCAGAGATGGCTCAAGTCTGAACAGCCTTTTCCCACCCTCAGCAGGCCAAGCTCCATTTCTGCCAGGAACAGGCCTCCTACAAGCCCACGAACTGGGGGCTTGCCCAGTTCAGAAGGCCTGCCCCTCTCTGCCTCTAACAGTTCAAACTGATGGGTGAAGGAGCCCCAAACCTGAGTTTGATTTCCTTTTCATTCCCTCCATCCCCAACCCCAGTTTACTCTTCTGGTTGTTGCAGAAAGAAGCAACATCACAAAGAAGGCACAGATGGGGAAGCAGAAAGGCTGAAAGGATAGTTAACAATTCTTCTGTTTCATACAAATCATATTGCACCCACTGAATGGCACTGTTTCATTTGTCAGCAAGGGTGAGGGATTTGTGAATGTATTTATTCCCAAGTTCACCAATCCCCATGTCACTAACTCACCAATTCCCTGTGTGAAATATGACGACGCCCCCCAAACAAAATTAACTCCTGACTCATGAACACAACAGGCAATGGGAAATTAACCAAAAAAGCTCTAACCATGACTAGTTATTTGGAACCAGTCACTTGGAAATAGTTACTTAGAATGAAGTTCCAAGAGCTCTGCATCTATTTTGTGAATTTTCCAACCTCTACGCTATGCTTATTTGTTCAATTTTTCTTCCTATCCTTCTCATCTCACCCTATCCTTAACTGTTGTACCCTAAAAAAACAAAATAATCCTTTGCCATCTATAAAACACTTTTAGAATGAAAATTCTCTCTGGAGCTTTAGTTTATATACTTGCCCAGCACAGCAACGAATAATCAGAGATCTGTGAACTTAACTGTGAACTTGCCTTCAGTTATGCCAATCCAGAGTTACTAGCTAACAGTCTGAAAATACATGATTTCTGTTCACAATGCCATCCCAAAGAGACTGTTCCTCCTATAAACTATATTAGTATTAACTGTATTTGGAAAGGTTACACCCACCCCACAATTCATGGGAACTCTGAAAGTAATGCCAGAAATGTGATTTGTGTTATTAATCTTCAGTCTAGACTTTCAAGTAATGTTCTGACTTAAGGTGAAAAACAGCTGAATACAGAACCTATCCTGTGAAACAACTTTAAAAATCATTCCTGAAAAAAAAAATTGTTCAGAACCATCTGGTCTATACTAAGGAACTCTCAAGATTTCAGAGCTAAAACGTACTTTGTTGGCCACTGGTTTGACTTCACTTAATTACTGAGGAAGAAAAGAGGGAAAAGACCTTCTCCACCTCCACAGGTAAGGAGCAGAGAAGACTGTAGGTGCCAAATATTCTCCAGATAACTTCCATCAAAACCTCTGATCTCCCATAGACGTCAACATGCGAGGGAAGAGAAAATCCCAATTTTTGAGTAGACGGGCCAATATACTAGACATCCTTCTAAGAACGAGGCTGACCTGGGCTATCTTCTGTTCCAATACTGGGCTGGGTGGGCAAAGCGAGTTCACCTTTCAGACCTAGCTTAAAGTGTTACCTGGCACATCAGAATCGCACGGGGGGCTTTCATAAAAATAACCAATACCTGGGCCCCACTTCGAGAGGTTTGAACTTAACTGGTCTGGGATGGAGGCCCGGTCATTTTAAAGCCATCCAGTGATTTTAATGCACGGCAGAGCTGAGAGGCTCTGGAACCCGTTCCCTCTCACTGATTTAAGGGGGTCTCATGGGCCTCTGGCCCACCTTTTACCTCGGGGTGGTGATAAATACGAATATGTGATAGCCAAACTCTAAGCTCTCCTGGCCTCAGAGGAAGTCAGGCTCAGGGGCCTCCTTCACTTCCTTCACTCCCCAAATGAAACCCAACAGTCCCGAAGGGGACGCGTCACCTCGAGGGCTCGTAGCTTGCGAATCCTGGGCGGTGGGCGAGCTGGGACCTATTTCCGTTCCGGCTGAGGCTAGTAGGAAGCCGTTGCCGGACCGAGTAAAAGAAAGTTTCCGGCGCGGATCTGCGACGCGCCGGAACTCCCGCCCTCCCCTCCGTGACGTCACATCAGCGCCATGTTCCGCACCACGCAAGGGGCGTGGCGCGGAATGGGGCTCTCCTCTTGAGGCAGAGCGTGGGGACGGCCGTTAGAGTGACCGGATCGCGGCACTCGGGTGGGATCGGACAGTGGGCGGGGTATGCTTGTCTCTGCGCGGGTCCCGTGTCCAGAACAGTTTCTTAGCATTTAACTCTTCGCTCATCTCTTTTTTGTTTTTATTTATTTTATTTATTTATATTAGTTGGAGGCTAATTACTTTACAATAATGTAGTGGTTGTTGCCATACATTGACATGAATCAGCCATGGGTGTACACGTGTTCCCCATCCTGAACCCCCCCCTCCCACCTCCCTCCCCATCCCACCCCTCTGAGTCATCCCAGTGCACCAGCCCCGGGCACTTGTCTCATACATCCAACCTGGGCTGGCGATCTGTTTCACAGTTGATAATAAACATGTTTCAATGCTATTCTCTCAGATCATCCCACCCTCGCCTTCTCCCACAGAGTCCAAAAGTCTGTTCTATACATCTGTGTCTCTTTTTCTGTCTTGCGCATAGGGTTATCGTTAACGTTCTCACCTTCGTTCCCTTGTGTTTAGTTAGCCTTTTCCTTTTTTTTTTTTAAATGGAGCGTGGTTGTGACCCAAGAGGAAACACCCTGACTTTGAAATAGTCATCCAGAGATGCGTTTGAGTCCGATTCTAGCCTCCCTAAGCCTTGGGTTCTTGCCCCGAAAAAGTGACTAATACCAGTGCACAGTGCCTGGTGTATGATAGCAGACAAAAATTAGTGCCTATTAATTAGTATTTTTATCATCACAATAATTAGCAATATCTCTGCTGTTAGGGTCGCAAAGGATCAATAATAAACAAGCATAAATCACTGGAAATCTAAGTGGCATACCTTCCTGGGGTAATTTGGCAAAATGAAGCAAGAGCAGAGAGAGGACATATTTTTGTACTAGAATGTTCTCTTCTGAGAATTTATCCTAAAGAAAAACACACATAAACCAGATGCTCATTGCAGAATTATTTCAAAAACTGGAGATTGGAAACAAATACCTGATAAGAGTAGATGGTTAGTTCAATTAGGCTTTATCAATGGTGTGAACGTTATTACCATGTTATTCTTATACTCTAGAAGAATCAAATACTGTGGAATAAAAGTAACAAATCTGTATGGATGCCCACTATGATCGGGTATTATTCTATATCTGCACAGTCCATTGCAGCCATTTGTCCTATGTGGCTGTTGAGAGCTTGAGATATAGTCTGTATTGAGGTGGGCTTTAAGGGTAAATTAGACAGTGGCTATTGCAGAATTTGTCTGAGAAAAAGAATGAAAGATATCTCACTTTGAAATAGTGACAACATGTTAGGGAAGGACCATTTAGGTTAAATAAGATTAAATTAAATTTAATTTCAGCTTTAATATTTTTACTTTATTAATGTGGCTACTAGACCAGCATGCTATATGGGGCATGCATATTGCATATTACATATTACATGTGTCTATGGGACAGTGTCAATCCATTTACTGGATATATGGTGGTGAACAAGACAGTTTTTTACCTCAAATAGTGAACACTCTGCTGAGCAGAGCACAGACAATAAGTAACATCCTTGTACACAATGGTAAGTTCTATGCAGAAAATATAGCTGGGTAAGGACCAGAAAGTGTGTTCATATTGAGGGTGGTTTTTGAAGGACTGATGCTGAAGCTGAAACTCCAATACTTTGGCCATCTCATGTGAAGAGTTGGCTCATTGGAAAAGACCCTGATGCTGGGAGGGATTGGGGGCAGGAGAAGGGGACGACAGAGGATGAGATGGCTGGATGGCATCACCGACTCGATGGACATGAGTTTGTGTGAACTCCGGGAGTTGGTGATGGACAGGGAGGCCTGGCGTGCTGCAATTCATGGGGTCGCAAAGAGTCAGATGTGACTGAACTGAACTGATTTTAGACAAGATTTGTCCTCCAGAAGGAGGATGTGGGAGGAGTTAAGATATCTAAGGATAGAAGGGTGAGGGGAGAGTAGGGATGTGGTGTCTTCTGGGAAAAGTCAGGTATGGATTGAGTCTGATAAGTCAATTGGGTCCTGGTGGAATCTCTACCAGAGGGAAGAAACCACATCAGGGGAGGAAGGAAAGAGAGAAGGGTGAGGTACCAGGAAGAAAGAGCTCAGGGGGCCCACATAGGAAAAGCACAACAAAGCGGACCTAGAGTGGATGTGTTTCAGGTCATGTAGTTACTGGAGTTCTGACTTATATACAATAGTACTGTGAATATGTGTATATACACACTCATATATATTCTCTCTGTCTGGATGTAAGGTGTTCAGAAATGTAAGGGAGACAGGCCAGGGACTCAAATTCCACCTATCTTGTAGGTTCAGACTCCTTGGTTTGCTACCTTGGCACACGTGGTCCAAGATGGCACACCACTGCACGTTTCTCCTAGCCAGTGGGAAGGGAGAAAGCTGAAGCCACTTCCATCTGAGGCAGGGGTCCCAACCTCCTTGATCTAATGACTGATGACCTGAGGTGGAACTGATGCAATAATAGAAATAAAGTGCACCATAAATGTAATGTGCTTGAATCATCCCCAAACCATCCCCACCCCGCCCGGGTGCATGGCAAAAATGTCCTCCACGAAACCAGTCCCTGGTACTAAAAATGTTGGGGACCACTGGTAAGGTATGGTTTCCCCACCTCAACATAATTCACATTCGAGGCTGGATAATTCTGTATTCTGGGAGTTCTCTTGTGTGTTCTACCTTGTTCAACAGCATCACTGGCTTCTACCCATTAGATGCCAGTACACATCTCCCCCCACCTCACCAGTTTTGACAGTCAGAAAATGTCCCCAGACGTGCCAAATGTCCCCTGGGGGCAAAGTGACAACCTCTTCCCAGTTGAGAATCACTGCTTTAACTACTACTGTTTCCTACACTTCTACTCCAATCCCACTAATGGCCAGAACATCATCACTCGGCCATCCTAAGGGTAAAGGAGTCTTGGAACTGTCTGCTGGCCAGGTAGCCAGCTAAAAGTGAGATCAAGAAGGTGAGAAGATAGCTTGAGTCTCCCCCACACTGGTTGCTACAGGGAGTGGAAATTCCATAGCTGACTGCCCTGTTTTTATCATCTTCCAGGCAGAGTTTTCATTATTATTCATTGTCACTCACATGCATGAAAATGTCCATGGTGAGGACAAAAAAGCATTTAAAAAGTAACAATCCCTTTTGGAAAGATGGTCATTGTTACTCAGACATCTAACCTTGCAGAGAAACTGGCTTCTGAAGGTTGGATTTTTAAAAACTTGTCTTTTGGCGCCATCTGGTGGAAATAAATCCTACCATGCCTGATTTTTTTTACTTGTCTTTTGGCGCCATCTAGTGGAAACAAATCCTACAATTCCTCACTCTCTTGCCTGATATTTTTTACCTGTCTTTTGGCGCCGTCTGGTGGAAATAAATCCTACCATTCCTCACCCTCTTGCCTGATACTTTCTTTCATTAGCCTCAGGACTAAAACTCAAATTATAAATAAACCTTAACTGGATTTTAGCAAAGCTTTAACGGGTTCTTTAGGAGGAGGGACTCATCAAAACAGTGTTTCTGACCCTTGGCGCGATTGACCTCTGAGGCTCCAGGACACTGTAGAATTTTTAGCAGCATTCTTGGCCTCTATTCATTGCATGCCATTAGCACCATTTGTCACAACCAAAGGTTGCCAAATTTCCCACGCCCATGATGGGAAGGGTCAGATTTGCCCCCCACCCCAGTTGAGAACCATTCCTTGAAAGAGAGCCACTGACTTCCACAGTCCTTAAAGCCCTATGTCACGGCAGTCTCCTGTCAGTGAATCCTGGGAGGGATGGAAGTAGTTCAGACTAACCCTGGGCTGTGACACCCAGCTCCAGAGCCCCCCTCAGGGATGTGCAAGTAGGGAACATCTCACCAGGTACGGGAAGTCAAAGCTAACCTTGTGGGCCTCTTTGGACCCCCAGGCGCCCCTCTGTCACCTGAGTGTTGTGCAGAAACTGGTTGGGAGCCAGTTCCCTTGCCTGGAAACATTCTCGAGTCCATTCCTCAAAGCCCGACCCCACCCCCCTTCCCCTTAGTTGTGATGACCAAAAATATCTGCAGACACCGCCGAATATCCCTGAGAGGGGGGCGCAAAATCACCGCCAGTTAAGAACCACAGGGCTAGAGAAAAGAGCTGAACTTGGATGTGGCCTAATAGCAGTCTTCACGGGCCCCACAGACATCTCAGGAGCAAGAACAACCCTTCTGAATGGTCGGAAGTAGGGCCAAGATGGCCAGGCCTATATTTGCCCACACGGAGCAGTCAGTAGACTTGAGCCCCTGGAAAGGTGCATGGCAATGGATGAGGTGGCTCTCGGTCACTGGGACAAGTCCTTTATCAAAGGGAGATTTGGGCCATGCAGTGTTCGCGACACATGTGATTCTACAGTTGTACATTTACTTCTCAGCATCTTTCATTCAATGGGACAACACTCGAGAGCTGGGGCCTGGCCTCATTTGGTTCTGTGTCATTACAGCCTATCATACTACATGGGAATGAATACTGGTTACGTGCAACGGAAAAATGAAATGGGACAGGGTTGGGGACAGATGGATTGGGCATTTGGGATTAGGAGATGCAAACTATTATATTAATATATAGAATGGATAAACAATAAGGTCTTACTGTACAGCACAAGGAACTATACCCAATATCCTGTGATAAAAGGTAATGGAAAAGAATATGAAAAAGGATATATATATATATATATATATATATATATGTATAACTGATTCACTTTGCTATACAGCAGAAATTTAACACAACAGTGTAAATCAACTATACTTCAGTAAAATTTTAAAAAAGAAATGAAATGGGACAATAATTGTGATTATTTGGATATCTGCAAACTTAAATAG